CTCCTCTAGAGTCTCGTCTTCGGTTTGCCAGATTGATGTACGCTCTGCTCTGTAAATGATTGGGTCTTTTCTTCTACCAAACATTTTTAGCAGTTGGTCCCTACTTCTGTTGTACCTTTGCTCTATTGATGGTTCTTGCCGAGTGTACACTTCTAGTGCTTTTCCAGTTAATGCCCCAACTAATTGAATTAATGTGGTTTCGTCATTCCATTGGCAGCAATCTGCTATTGTGTCAAATTTTCTCACGAATGCGTGAAAATCAGTGGAACCATTGTAGGGTGCTAATTTTGGGATCGCTGGGTGCGCAGTTGCACTTGATGCTGTTAGTGGTTGCCGTTGTGACAATTGTGTCACACTTGTTCCAGTAGTTTGTTCTACTGTGTTTGACTTGGGTAATTGGAATTTGTGTGCCACAATGGTTGGGCAGGAATGCCACCTGCAGCAATGGGCTTTTGTTCAGTTGGAGCGGTTTGACTGTAAGGCCTGTTTTGTTCACCTAAAGCCACAATATTGCAACCTAGCTGGGCAGCGTTTTCTTAAGCCGTGTAATGCAGTTTCTGCTAATTTATGGCTCTGCTGGGGCATTCAGACTCCATCTTTTGCTGGTGAACTAATGAGCGGATCGGAAGAACCTGCTGCAAAACTGTGAGTCTTTTGTATCTTGTGATTTTCAGTGACTTAATCTGTAAAGTACAATAATTTCTTGAGCATTCCCTTGTTCCCTTGTTAAGAATTTGCCGACTCTTGCACACTTTTCGAAACATAATATTCCTGGGATTTCTGTGATTTTAATTTGAAATTTTCAGTTGGTATCCCAAGGTTTCAGCCAAGGGGCTCGGCTTTTATCCTCTGAGTACTACCAAAGCAGATCTAGGGTGGGCAGCCTCAGTGATAAGACCTGACTTCCTTTGTACCCCAAGAACCCCAAGACCTAAATGGGCAGCTGGATCAACCCCTTGGCAGCTCGGTGAAACACCCTGAAGAGAAATTGGGCCGGAGGAACTAATCCATGCAGTGGCGTATGCAATACAAACTTATGCCCTGTCCATCTACACTTACTTCAGACAGGACAGAGTGAATCAAGACGTCTTAACAATGAACTCTCCTAAAATAATTCTTCAAGTGTAATTGTGAAAGGTTTTGACTAGGTAGAGAAAAGAGGCAATTTGCTAAATCAATTATTTGTGGCATTGGTCTGGAAAAGTATTCTGGAAAGAAGTATTTAGTAATAGTAATTCCTGAAGGGAATGGTACACAAATGTATTTTTACTGTCCAATTACTGTACAGGTGGAAATCTATAAAAACAGGACAAGTGATAAGTGTTTCCGTACAAGTGCTGCTCGTCCTTCAGTGTAATGGAAACGTGTAGTGGATCAGTGGTGGAAAACTGGTTTAGGGGACACCAATATTACTGTATTACTGTGCAAGACCTTTCTGTAATCCTGGAAGTTAATGATACGTATACGGAGCTGGACTGTGTGACTAAAATAGAATCTTTGAAAAATTCTTATTGAAGTTTGACCAAATTGATTAACGTCAAGGCCAAGACGATAGATTATATATTTTGTCTACTTGTTTAGTGTTTTCAAAACATTGTCATAACCGTTTTAGAATAAATCAATTGTATATAAGGGTAACTTTGATACAGTTTCTCTCAGGGCAACTTTTTTGAGTTGACGACAGCTGACATATGGTAACAGATCCATTCTTAGATCTTAACCCTAACCCCCTAGGGTGTATGTAAAATCATGTTGAAATTGGAGGATTTGGGACTGTTAGGGTTAATGATACTATGGTTTCTGCGAATTTTATCCCAATGCCTGGCAGGGTTGCCAGTTGCTTAACGGACGCTTTATTCATGTTGATAGCCATGTTTGGGTGAATTATTTAATACGACTTACAAAGTATTTAAGTTACAGAGTGTTTGAAATCTGCTATAAACTTGGACGGCAAAATGCCATATCACCCACTTCCTATTGCAAACGCCCCTGCCGGGAGTGATGGAAATTACGACAGGTTGACCTGATTTGCAGTAGCGTGTGGAGAAATTGTGAATGAATTTTGTCTAAACGATTATGCTTTATTCTCCAAAGATTTTTGACAAAAGTGCTTTATTGCAGATTCCTTAGGCATATCTATATATATCAAATACAATTTAAAAGCAAGTAGGTTTAACAGCGTGTTTTTCTTCAAACTCAACTTTTGTTCTTTTTTTTTTGACAGTCCCAACAAATGCCAGGACTTATCGATGAAGGAAAAACGTTATTCTAAATCTACCGATAATCCCAACAAATGCCGGAATACGTTGGTAAATAGCTCAAAGAACGTTTTGGTGGTGATTAGACATTACCTTCCGGGATATACTCGCAAAGATTTGCCTCGTCGCCAATGTAGTAATTCACCGGCATACTACGGGGTGAGTCTCGTGAGTCCACAGCAACGCACATGAACATACGTCTGGTAGTGTTGCTTACCAGAGACAAGACTGCCCTGTGGTTGGCCCGCTCTCACTGACCAGCCGTGGACATGCTTGGAAGGTTTATTTGAATTTTATCAAGCACAATCACTACATTCTCATCCTTTCCCACTTTTGGCTCGGACGGTTTTAATACTGGAAAAAAAAGGACGAACGTGGCAGCCATTCCGCTATGCATCAT